TTTTATTTAAATTTTTTAGGACATAATGATGATCTCCTTAAATTTAACATCAACCCAGCGGTAGAGAAAACTCTTTCACTAGGTGTGCTAGTCGCCGGAATGCAAAGAATTTTTTCGGTAAGCCTGGAAAGATTGGGAAGTCACTCTTCTTTTCTCTCCAAAAATTTAAACATCCATATCTTGTGAATGTCGTTTTCCAAGAAGAATGTCGCATTCTTGTTCTAAGTCACCTAACGTTGAATCTAATTTATATTTGTTGAATGCCTATTTGCCAATTTTGTCAAATATCTTGAATTTAATAATTCCTCTTGATTCTCAATAGCTATATTTACTACCTGAATATCATCATTCTCTATAGTTTAAGATGTTTTATTATAAATTCTGAAGCTGAGCAATTTTGCTCTATTATATACTTTGACTCAATTGTCGATTTTTGAAATCTTGGATTTAAAAGAAAAGCCAATACATAGATAATTTTTTAAATAAAAAATAAATGAATATATTTACATATTATTACGTTGCAGATCACAAACCGGAAACCGTAACGCAAGTTTTTTTAGCATATTTTCCTTAAGTGAAATGATTTCAGAACTATCACTATCATTTACTATTAAATGTGTTTCAATTTCACTTCTAAAAAGGAACGCCAAGTTTAAAGTAGGCCCTTTTTGTACAGAATGAAATTTGAAAGTATCTTTAAATTTTGAAGAAATGCTAATAATTCTTATCATATTCAAAGTTTGATAATTTGAGAAAGTTTTTCCCAATTCTTTTCAAAACATTATTAATTACATTTTTATTTAATCCAGATATGCTTTCTAGCATAATTAATATACCATGCCAACGTGTGAGGACATTTAATTTTAAGGTTTTCATATGCGTGGAATTATTTTTATTATTATCATTGGAATTGCCAATTTGAAAACAGGTATCCGGGTATGGATCAGTGCTGTCAAGATCTAAAATCTATTGTACTTCGGCATTTGATCTGCCTCGAATTCAAATTCAACCCTGCAGTTTTATTCTTAGAGCAGTAATAATTTCTCTAATTCTTTTGATGAGATTTTCAACAAAGGGTACCTTTTTAATACCATCTACTGTAACCAGATTGTGTAAACCATGACCTAAACATAAGTGGTGTTTATATTCACCTAATCGAACACCCTTTATAACATTAGGCCCAGCATCTGTGACCATTTGTATTTTTTTCTTTTTCAAACTAATTTCCTCTTCTATTTTATCAATCTGCTAGAATAATCTCACCTGTTTGTTTTTGGGTTAAATAATGAGTTGCTAAAGTAAAGTAAATTATTTCAAAATTATCATTTATTAAATGAAGTGTAAATATAATATAGTTTCTTCTCATGTATTGATCTGTCCACATATCGAATATAATTGTGCAAAATTTTGGTCCTGAGTTAATTTGTACTTGTACATGTGCTTTCATTGCTTCATTGATAGGTAAACATATTAAGAGCAGTACGGCTTAGTGTTGTCCTGTCTGGCAAATCAGAATTAGAATTGATAACTTGATATTTCTAAATTAAGTATTTTGAAATTTATAACAGAAAATTATTACAGTGAAAGGGGGGATATTTTTTACCAGATGTTAAAACAAAATAAAATAAAATGATATTATTATATTTTTATTTTAATCATTCTTAAACATTAATCTATGTTACAAAAATATTAAACAACTTTTTTAAATGTCACACTTAAAAAAAATTTTTTATAAAAAGTTTTGTCATCACATATTTTCTTTTACCTAGTTAAAGATATTTTATATAGAATAAATTTAAAAATAATGATGAAATATTCATCTTAGTTATTAGATCTTAGTCAAAATCTTTTATTTCTGAATATAGTTTTTTTTCTCCCACTCTATTTTATCATATTTGAGATATAAATTATCAAATATTTTATTCAATTCATATATTACATATTATAATAAGAAATATATTAGAAATTACACTAATACATGAATATTGATTATATAAAATATGAAATATTTATGGTAGTTCATAGTCATCCCAAATTTCTTGCTAAGTAGTACCTATTCAATTAAAATTTAATCGTAATTTATTATATAATTAGATTACTTTAGTCAATTAGTAGTCTACGATAGCCCAGCTCCAAATAGTAATTTGTCTCTCAATGTTTGATGTGTCCTTTATTTTTCTCCCTCTTTGTTTCAGAGTGAATTCTTTAAGGGATCACCAATAATTTATGGGAATGAATCCCGTTTTATTTTATGAATCGAGGCCTTCGACCTATTAACAAATTTCGCTATGTCCTTAATCTTCATCTGTTCCTCCTCTGGCATAGCTAAAATTTTCATTACCATCTCAATCTTTTCTTTGTTCCAACAATGATATGTTCTTTTGGGTTTAGGAATAATGGAGGAGAGGATGATTTGTATTTTCATTAATGGTAGCTAAAGATTTATTAGTTGAAATGTTAGAATATGATTCATAATTTTCCATCTCATTCTCATCTGAGATGGGCAAGGAATAATTTCAGAAGTAATTGGGTAGAGGAGAATTATTAAAGTTATGAGATATTATACATCGAAAAAGTAACTAATTAAATTAAATTAAATATGAAAATATATAAAAAATATTGTAAATACACTTTTTATGTAAAATTAATTTTTTTTTAATTGTACAAACTTCAAGTGGCATCTTTTAAAAAAGTTGTTTAATATTTTTTTAACAGATTAATGTTTAAGTATGATTAAAATAAAAATATAATAATATCATTTTATTTTGTTTTAACATCTGGTAAAAAATATCCCCCCTTTTACTGTATATCTTTAATTTATATTAGAAAACAAATTAGGGAGAATTTATCAAGAAATAAATTTGTTAAAAATTTTCTGGGTTGTAAAGCTACAAAGAAACAAAGATAATTAGGACAAATTAATATGCGTTTATCCAATATTATTTAAATCATTCATGTCTATGTGTAATCATATTGTTAGCATGGCGATGAAATTCAACTATTAGCAGCCAATGCTATTTCAGACCAAAAAAGACATAAAGGTAGATCCATTATAGATAATATAACAATTTTTTTATAAATTTGATACCTTCAAAAAATCTTTCATTCTTATATTATCAATTGATTGAAAAGGTAATAAGTCAGCACAACAAAAAACACATAGTGTCTTGCTAGAATCCATTTTTTGGAGGTATTACAATTTGTCTGGAATTTTGGTTTGGTTATAAAATATTTTTTTTAAATTTTGCGATTTTGATGAAGTATCTTCTTTAATATTATGATCAGAAGTCAAGTGTTTTAACAAATTTCCTGTGTAATGTTGATTGAAAAGTTTATAATATAGTTAGATTATATTTTACAAAACATATATTATAATTTATTAAAGATTTTGGCTTAATATAAAAAATAATGTTTTAAAAAATATTCGGTGAACATGGCTTATTTGAATCATGATCATCTACAATAGCCTTTTCTAATTAACAATTACATTAAAATTTGTCAGAAATTATGGAAATTGTTTTATTTTCTTTTTTTAAGTGTAAGAAACCTAAAAATTTCCACACAAATGATTTTTTATTATTTACTGTTATAATACTAAAATTATTTATAGATTTATTAAATGTAGATGCTTCTAGTGATGTTAAAAAGCCCGATTTGGGTCTTTGAAAAGGGCTAAATCAAGATTTTAGCCAAAATAGTATTGTGTAAGCCTCAAGATTTGGTAAGTAGAAGCTCAAACCTTTCGGCCATCTATGAGCAAAATCATCAGGCTTACACAATATTATTTTGGTTAATATTAATCGGGCCGTTTCTAGTTATCGACTCGATTTGGGCTTTTTAACGCATCCATTTTAAAAATATGTAAAATTATGGTAACTTTTGGAATTTTAGATTTGCTTGAATTCTTATAATGACGTCAATATATTTTTGATTTTAAAATATGTGGAAAATAAGAATTCATCAAAATCTTGATTCATTAAAAATTAACAGTGATGTTGACCAATTATTAGAATAAAAAAATATAAAATATGAAAGAAATCGGCGTGATTTTCATAAGCGACTGCGTTTTCGGCATAACCAAAAAAGTCGGCGGCCGGCGTACATGTCTATTTATGAGTTTTATATATTTTACCAACACAATAACTGGATATTACATTAAATGAACTGTTCAAATTTAAAGAGAATGATCCTCATATTATATCGCAAAAATTTGTATCCGCCGTTTTTATATACCGGGCTATTCAATTTAGCGATATTGGCATTGGCGGGTTTTTAAAAAAATACGAATGATCGGGCTGATCCAAATATTTAAAATCGATGCATCCCAATAATTAATCTTACTAACTTAGGCTGATTATTCGAGTGGTGCATACATTGAAGTCAGCTTTAGTCATGTTATTTTCAATGGCGTCTGAATGCCATTTAATGGCGCATTTTAAGGTTTGTACACTTTTTAATGCATTTTAATATTTAAATCAGTCAATCATTAGTTTTCTGTCATGCAAATATATAATTATGTTATAAAAATATTTTAGACTAATTAAACTTTTTTAGATAAAATCTTGAAAATTTATTTTTAGCTCGATGTATAAATGATTTGAAATATGATGAAATTTTCTTATATTTTTTATTGGTAGAGCATCTATATTTCTTTCGTAAAAGAATAGAATGAGTGTTTTGACTTTGTAAAAATTTAGTGTTGTTAAATCATCTAACTTTGGCTAACTCAAATAGGGGGCTTAATCAAACTTTTAGTCCTGAAAAACTGACTTTAAAATTTCTAAGTTTAACCTCAACTTAAGGATTAGGACGAATTTTTATAGAATAAAATAAAAACTTGGCTAAGCCATTTTGGAGTTGGCGAAAATTTATTTAGCAAAACTAGTAAAATTTATTATTTTATTATATAATGATATGAATTGCAAGAATCTTTGGTTATTTTAAATGATAACCACGAATAGCGACCTATTTTTCGTTTGTATGTTAAAATAAACATTAAGGGTATTATATGTCTCCCAACGAAGGCCAAGAAGAGTACAAAGAAATTCAAGAGGACATTTTGCGCAAAGAGCAACAAGTTATTTCTAATTTTTGTATAAATATCTGATAAAGTCTCCTTTTTTAATAATTAAAATGTAGTTTTCCTCGTTCAACGAACTCGAGTCAATGGAGGAAGGGAATATAATTCACAACACCAGATCCTTCTACAAGCGTCTTATCTCGAGCACGTGCTCTAAATATTTTAAAAATGATAATTTAATGCGACTTTTATGTACGGTCGGGATTCAGGCGTTTACCCTAACTTTTTTGGCGGAATGGGGCGATCGTTCCCAAATCGCTACTATAGTATTATCGGCCAAAGAGGTAACTTTTTTTATCTTCTAAAAAAATAAACAAACCTATATTTATATAAAATAAATAATTTTGTTTTGTATACAGGATATAAAAGGTGTCAGTATCGGAGCCATAATTGGTCATTCATTATGTACCCTATTGGCTGTTATGTCGGGGAGATTTATATCGACTAAATTATCCGTCAGATTAGGTTCTTCTTTTTAAAATTTTTTTTTATTGATCACCAGTGCTGTAAAAAAAGTTAATCCTTGACAGTTGAAAGCATTCTATTTCAAAAGTATAGAACTAGTATATTCATTTATTTTAGGGCTATGCCAATATTAAATATTAGGCCGACATTTTACAAAATACCGATTAATTGTTTTTTGGTTTAAACATTAAAATCAAACATTGTTCATGATTTAAGTAAGATAAAGAAATTATTTAACTTTTGGAGAATAATGATGCCCCAAATATTGCCTTGACCATGAGAAGCGGAAAATTTTAGTGTTTTGTTTTGCCTATAGTTTACAGTTAGGAATTTTTTACGCCAGGAAATATTGATTATTTATGACATTGATTCAAATATAGGATGGTAGATAAAAATTAATCGAATCGGTAATTAATATCTGATTTTTAAAAATTTGTCAATCGGCACATGCACAATTATAATTTATGTATAACTATTTTTAAAAAAGTAAATTATAAAAACTTTTTCATAAGTAATGCTTTACATTGCTAATTGGTAAAAACGCTCATAAATTACAGCGCCTTTGATCACTAGCGAATGTTATCTGTTTACATATTATATATTGTAATCCACTATTTAAAGGGGAATGTTTAATATTTTGGGAAATAGGTTATTGATATAGTTTATAGGATATTATTCACAAATTTAAATTAACGTTTATTTTTCTTTACTCATAATATTTAAGTGACCATAATTGGGGCTTGCGTTTTTATTTTATTCGGAATTTCTACGCTTCTTTTTGACGCTCGACTCGATTTGCGGAATAATTCGGATTCGAAATAATAATAATGAAAAATATATGAATCAAATATACTTACTGCTCACAAATTGTTAATATTCTATTTTGTTATATATTTAAATTAAATTATCAATTGTGATTATAATCCATAAATTTGTTTTAAACACGACGTTGATTTTGCAATTATTTAACAATAAAATTGAATGTCTGTTCTGTAATTTTAAAATAGACTTTTTTTTAACAAGGGAACTTTTACTATATAATTGGAATAGTAAATATCTAATATATATAATCTCCATAATCCGTAACACGATATTTTTCATATCTCCCTAGTGTATTTTAAATTTAAGGAGACTATATAGTGTAATGTTAATTTTATCTCCATAATCAAAACACGATCGTTTACTTATCTCCCTAATGTATTTTAAATTTAAGGAGACTATATAGTGTAATGTTAATTTTTTGCTCTCAACGAGAAACACAAGCCTCCCGTTTCAAAGGCATATGCTTTACCGCATGCACCAACTTGAATATAAATAAATTTAATATATTAATTATATATATATATTAAAGTTTCAAAGGCGTATGCTTTATGCATGCACCCACTTGAATATAATTAAATTTAAAATATTAATTATATAGATATTAATTAATATCTGATATTTTTAAAATTCTATCGTTTATTATTATTTCCATATTAGCTGATGGGGTTGAAGGGTAATTATTTAGTTTATGTGTATGGTATTAAATATACTTTATTAATAAATATTAAAATTTAAGAGAAAAATAGGTAAAATTGCTGCAATGTATACTGTGAGCATGTATTAGAAATATCAAAATTTAAAAATGTGATGGAAATCATATTGGATAAAATTGAATTTTAAATATGGGTTATAGATTGGTCTGAAATTTTTGTTGCAGACATAGCCAGGCCTGATCAAAAAACCATATCCCATGCAACTTTCATAAATTAATTATAGTTGACATTTTTTAAATTTTGCCTGTGCATTGAATGCACTGAATACACACCTAATATTATACATATTCCTGAATATTTAGGGATAAATAGAACTTTAAATGCATCAAGTACCAATTCAATAGGAATAAGGTAGAACTATAAATGGCAAGTACCCAATAAGAGATTTATTTAAATACTATTTTAATTCTTGAATTTATGTATAATTTAGGATTTTATACCATTATATTGGGGTTTCAGAAAAGATAAGAGAGATATGGAATGGACAAAGCACACCTTGATAACACAAAACTCTTATCTAGCAAGAATAAATTTTTAGATTATAAATTACAAATACAAATAAATAAAATTAATAAATATATCATTTTTAAACAACCCCAAAATAAATATAAATTTTTAAATAAAACCTCATAAGATAGGAAAATTTTGTATATTTACTCATAACTTCATAATTGTAGAATGTATGTTATTCATAACTTATTATAACATTTTTGATTAAATGTATAACCTTTTTGTTTTACTTATATATAATTTGACTATGATTGAAGTTTACCTCCTATTATTTGTTAACTTAGACATATTTTTTTATTTTTTCTATTGTAATTTAATAATAATTTCTTAAATTTAATTTTATATTTTGTAACTAAGTAATAAATCATTTGGTTTGTTTAAAATTTAAATTAGGATGAACATAATTTCAGAATGGTACTTTAATGTGTATTCATGAATTTCATATAAATACCAGGAGCTCACCAGTAGAATCATAGGTAAGTCAGATATTTACCCTTCATTTGATGATAATTTTGAAATTAGACAGATTTAATTCTTATAAACCCCTTACATCAGACCTATTTTTCTGGATCAAAATAAAATATTTGAGTTTTCCTGGGCTTGGGAAACATTTTTCACCTTTAATATGAACTTGGACATAGCTTGAGAAACATTTTTCATAATTATTATAGTCTAAGATTCCTGTAAATTTTTTAATTTTAAATATGGGCTAAAAATTGGCCTGAAAATTTCTTTTGAAGACATGGCAAGGCCTGATCAAAAACCAAGGCCCATGCAACTTTCATATTCTGATTGTATTTTAAATGCATTATGACTCTATATATTTTATTTCAGTCCTCAACTATCAAAATTATTATGGTCTTTTGCAGGTTTGAGAAAACCAAGTGCGAGGACCTGGCTTGGGAATTTTTTTAATATTAGGCATAGGTGTAATATTTAACACAGAATATTTATATGGCCCTCAGGTAAAATCTAATTTAAATATATTTTTATTCAAAAAAATAGTATTCACACTTAGTCTTAATGGGTTGGCCTTAGTTGGGGTGGGCTGGGTTAAGATAGACTAAAAAATAGATATGGTTTTTAGAGATTTACCTATCTCCAGGCTTGGAAAAAAATTTAGAAAATTACTATCGGTTGGCCAGGTTTGAGAAAATTTTTTTATAAAATTATTATGGGTTGGGCTGGGCTTGGAAAATATTTTTATAAATTATATTGGGCTGTGCTTGAGGAAAATTTTCAAAATTATTATGAGCTTGGACGCTTGAGAATTTTTTTATTATTAATTATAGGTCAGATATTGGCCCAAAACAAATTTTTATGCAGTTGACCCGATTAAAAAACCAAGGCCCATGAAAATCTGAATTTTGATTGTATTTTTAAATTCATTATGATTATTTAAATATTTTATTTCAGTTCTCAACCACCAAAATTATGATCTTTCATTGGGCTTGGAAGAATTTTTCATAATTAATATGGTTTTGGACTTTGCCTGGGATTTTTTTTAATATTAAATATTAGGTATAAGTAATCAGTAATATTTAACAAATAATATTGGTATTATCAAGTAAATGCTTTAAATTTATTTTAACTCAAACCATAGAACTTGGTTTTAATGGATTAAACCTGGACTGAAGGGGGGAGGGGGTAAAAAGAATATAAATTGGATATTATTTTCAAATAACAGGTAACATTTTAGCATAAAAGTAAGAAGAAAATTTTCATTCCCCGTCATTTTTGACGGGCTACCTACTAGTATATAATGCAAGCCCATAACTAATCCAATATGAGATTATATAATTTTCATAGTACTACACTTGCCACAACTAGGCGCACGAACGAGTAGCTAGTCATCATTCGTATTTTAATATGAATAACACGAATTATTTAAATTAAATACGAAGAATTATTCTTTCATAATTATACTTAACTATATGCGTTAAATCCCTAGTATAATTTTTTTTATATAGTATTTAAAAACATTTGAATTTTTAATTTTTTTTCTATTCTATTTTAAAGACCCATATGAATTTTTTTTTAAACTGTTTATAAAGGTTTCAAAAATCTGGCTGAAAATTAAAAGTAACAGAAAATAAATAATTTATTAAATTTTATTTAACCAATAGCATAACTAGATCCAAATCAACCGAAGGAAGAAGGGGAATAGTCTTTGATGTTAGGAAATTTTGAGTAACTGGGAACATTAGACATCATATTGTTCAGAATTATTATAAAAGTGTAACCTGGAGGAAAGATTCTAAAATCTTTAAATACCAGCCGCTGTACTATGATATAATAATATTAATATAGCATAAAAATGGTGGATATCGGGTACACAATGAGAAGGCCTATGAACTACATAGGAAAAATAAAGTTGAAAGTTTGGAAGTGATGGGCAAACGTAAAAGAGAAAGTCCAAAACTTCAATGGGGCCATAAAGTTAGAGCCAATATAAAGAAGTATAAAATAGATAAAAGAGATTGTATGAATAACATAAAGTGGAGAGAGATGTTGAAGGAGCTTACCACCAGAAAAGGTGAAAGCTAAAGAGAAAAAAAAATATTGAGATTCAATCAAATTATTAATGAGAAAAATTCTTTAATTTTTATATTTGAATATAAAATTATCAGGCGCGTACGTAGCGGCAAAGCCAAAAAATGCAGTTGCCGGATTATATTTTCAAAAATATTATTGTTAATATTTATTCCTATCTCATATATATTTAATTACATTTATTTATCACATTCATCTACTAAGTTATTTTATCATTTAATTTCGATTTCAAGTTTTCCTTGGCGTAATTTACCTATTATTTTCAAATTTTAGTGGCGTATTATTTATCTAAATTTCTAGTCAAATAATAATTATCTCTGAAACTCCTTGTCCAACAGGAAGAAAGAAATTGCAAGCTTGCTGAACGAGATCGAGTCTCCGCCATCAAGCATAACAGCTTTTATGGAGTTAGAAGAGCCTATTATCAATGCTGTTACTGAAATATCACAATGGCAAGAAATATTTCCTCAGAAGCAAGAAAATGATTGGATTCAATACTTATTTCAAATTTTTTTCTCATTAGAATGTATTATTTAATTATACAACTATTTTATGTAATACTTTTCAAAAACATGACATTGACTTGATTAAGAAGATGAGAATAGCGGAGAGCATTTTATTAGAACTTAAGAAAATTAGAGCTAATGTTGATAAAGGGGTGGAGGGTGATAAGATATTTAATTTAACAAATTAAGGACGAGCGTTACATTTATGCAAACCAAATCAGGTGTTTTTATTTAATTTTATATGTTATTGTTGAGTTAAAAGCAGAGCTATACGTGTTTAAAATTTGTCCCCCTCGACTTGCAGCAAGCAAGCTCATCGTCAAAACATTAATATAGGATCAGTAGAAGAGTATTATAAAACAAATGTCCCCTCTCTTAGATACATTTATAACCCAAATAAATGAATGGTTTTTAATTCATCAAGCAGCACTAACAAATCCGCAGATATTACTTCCACAAAAGCCTTTATAACCTTTTTCAGATGGTAATAGAAAAAAAATAAATATTCGTTAGATTTTTATCATGAAGATGTTAAAGTATCTTATGATGCCTTATTAGCTGAATAACTATGATTAAAAGATTAACTATGGTTGATACAGTCCCAAAAATGCTATGGATGCTTTGCATTATTTCAAACACATTTTAGATTATATTCCCAATGTATTAAAATGGTTATATATATTAGCAACTCTTCCCATATACACTCCTTTTTTTAAGAATAATAACAGAGCCCTGCAGAGGTACCATTTTCAGGGCACGGCCCGGATTTTTTTTAAAAAATTTTTTTCGACCCAGGTTTTTTTTAAAAAAATTTTCATGCCCGGCCTGGTTTTTTTTA